AGACTGCTGAGTCCATACACACATACAGACTGCTGAGTCCATACACACATACAGACGGCTGAGTCCATACACACACAGTGCTGAGTCCATACACACATAGAGACTGCTGAGTCCATACACACATACAGACTGCGGAGTCCATACACACATAGAGACTGCTGAGTCCATGCACACATAGAGACTGTGGAGTCCGTACACACATACAGACTGCTGAGTCCATACACAAAGACTGCTGAGTCCATACACACATACAGACTGCAGAGTCCATACACACACACTGCTGAGTCTTTACACACATACAGACTGCTGAATCAATACACACATACAGACGGCTGAGTCCATACACACATACAGACTGCTGAATCAATACACACATACAGACTGCTGAGTCCATACACACATACAGACTGCTGAGTCCATACACACATACAGACGGCTGAGTCCATACACACACACTGCTGAGTCCATACACACATACAGACTGCTGAGTCCATACACACATACAGACTGCGGAGTCCATACACACATAGAGACTGCTGAGTCCATGCACACATAGAGACTGTGGAGTCCATACACACATACAGACTGCTGAGTCCATACACACATACAGACTGTGGAGTCCATACACACACACTGCTGAGTCCATACACACATACAGACTGCTGAGTCCATACACACATACATACTGCTGAATCCATACACACAGACTGCTGAGTACACACACACACACACACACTAACTGCTAAGTCCATACACACACAGAGACTGCTGAGTCCATACACAAACATACAGACAGCTGAATCCATACACACACAGTGCTGAGTCCATACACACATACAGACTGATGAGTCCATACACACACAGTGCTGAGTCCATACACACACAGTGCTGAGTCCATAAACACATACAGACTGCTGAGTCCATACACACACGCAGTGCTGAGTATATACACACATACAGACTGCTGAATCCATACACACATACAGACTGCTGAATCCATACACACAGACTGCTGAGTACATACGCACACACACACACTGACTGCTAAGTCCATACACACACACAGACTGCTGAGTCCATACACACACAGTGCTGAGTCCATACACACACAGACTGCTGAATCCATACACACACACTGCTGAGTCCATACACACATACAGACTGCTGAATCCATATACACATACAGACTGCTGAGTCCATACACACATACAGACTGCTGAGTCCATACACACACACTGCTGAGTCTATACACACAAACATACTGCTGAGTCCATACACACACACTGCCGAGTCCATACACACATACAGACTGCTGAGTCCATACACACACAGTGCTGAGTCCATACACACACATACAGACTGCTGAGTCCATACACACACACTGCTGAGTCCTTACACACATACAGACTGCTGAATGCATACACACATACAGACTGCTGAGTCCATACACACACAGTGCTGAGTCCATACACACATACAGACTGCAGAGTCCATACACACACACTGCTGAGTCTTTACACACATACAGACTGCTGAATCAATACACACATACAGACGGCTGAGTCCATACACACACACACACACACACAGACTGCTGAATCCATACACACACACTGCTGAGTCCATACACACATACAGACTGCTGAATCCATATACACATACAGACTGCTGAGTCCATACACACATACATATTGCTGAGTCCATACACACACACTGCTGAGTCCATACACACATACATACTGCTGAGTCCATACACACACACTGCCGAGTCCATACACACATACAGACTGCTGAGTCCATACACACACAGTGCTGAGTCCATACACACACATACAGACTGCTGAGTCCATACACACACACTGCTGAGTCCTTACACACATACAGACTGCTGAATGCATACACACATACAGACTGCTGAGTCCATACACACACAGTGCTGAGTCCATACACACATACAGACTGCAGAGTCCATACACACACACTGCTGAGTCTTTACACCATACAGACTGCTGAATCAATACACACATACAGACTGCTGAGTCCATACACACATACAGACGGCTGAATCCATACACACACAGTGCTGAGTCCATACACACATAGAGACTGCTGAGTCCATACACACATACAGACTGCTGAGTCTTTACACCATACAGACTGCTGAATCAATACACACATACAGACTGCTGAGTCGATACACACATACAGACGGCTGAATCCATACACACACAGTGCTGAGTCCATACACACATAGAGACTGCTGAGTCCATACACATATACAGACTGCGGAGTCCATACACACATAGAGACTCTGAGTCCATGCACACATAGAGACTGTGGAGTCCATACACACATACAGACTGCTGAGTCCATACACACATACAGACTGTGGAGTCCATACACACACACTGCTGAGTCCTTACACACATACAGACTGCTGAGTCCATACACACACACTGCTGAGTCCTTACACACATACAGACTGCTGAATGCATACACAAATACAGACTGCTGAGTCCATACACACATACAGACTGCTGAGTCCATACACACACACTGCTGAGTCAATACACACATACAGACTGCTGAGTCCATACACACACACTGCTGAGTCCTTACACACATACAGACTGCTGAAAGCATACACACATACAGACTGCTGAGTACAGACTGCTGAATCAATACACACATACAGACGGCTGAGTCCATACACACATACAGACTGCTGAATCAATACACACATACAGACTGCTGAGTCCATACACACATACAGACTGCTGAGTCCATACACACATACAGACGGCTGAATCCATACACACACAGTGCTGAGTCCATACACACATAGAGACTGCTGAGTCCATACACACATACAGACTGCGGAGTCCATACACACATAGAGACTGCTGAGTCCATGCACACATAGAGACTGTGGAGTCCGTACACACATACAGACTGCTGAGTCCATACACAAAGACTGCTGAGTCCATACACACATACAGACTGCAGAGTCCATACACACACACTGCTGAGTCTTTACACACATACAGACTGCTGAATCAATACACACATACAGACGGCTGAGTCCATACACACATACAGACTGCTGAATCAATACACACATACAGCCTGCTGAGTCCATACACACATACAGACTGCTGAGTCCATACACACATACAGACGGCTGAGTCCATACACACACAGTGCTGAGTCCATACACACATACAGACTGCTGAGTCCATACACACATACAGACTGCGGAGTCCATACACACATAGAGACTGCTGAGTCCATGCACACATAGAGACTGTGGAGTCCGTACACACATACAGACTGCTGAGTCCATACACACATACAGACTGTGGAGTCCATACACACACACTGCTGAGTCCATACACACATACAGACTGCTGAGTCCATACACACATACATACTGCTGAATCCATACACACAGACTGCTGAGTACACACACACACACACACACTAACTGCTAAGTCCATACACACACAGAGACTGCTGAGTCCATACACAAACATACAGACAGCTGAATCCATACACACACAGTGCTGAGTCCATACACACATACAGACTGATGAGTCCATACACACACAGTGCTGAGTCCATACACACACAGTGCTGAGTCCATAAACACATACAGACTGCTGAGTCCATACACACACGCAGTGCTGAGTATATACACACATACAGACTGCTGAATCCATACACACATACAGACTGCTGAATCCATACACACAGACTGCTGAGTACATACGCACACACACACACTGACTGCTAAGTCCATACACACACACAGACTGCTGAATCCATACACACACACTGCTGAGTCCATACACACATACAGACTGCTGAATCCATATACACATACAGACTGCTGAGTCCATACACACATACAGACTGCTGAGTCCATACACACACACTGCTGAGTCTATACACACAAACATACTGCTGAGTCCATACACACACACTGCCGAGTCCATACACACATACAGACTGCTGAGTCCATACACACATACAGACTGCTGAGTCCATACACACACAGTGCTGAGTCCATACACACACATACAGACTGCTGAGTCCATACACACACACTGCTGAGTCCTTACACACATACAGACTGCTGAATGCATACACACATACAGACTGCTGAGTCCATACACACACAGTGCTGTGTCCATACACACATACAGACTGCAGAGTCCATACACACACACTGCTGAGTCTTTACACACATACAGACTGCTGAATCAATACACACATACAGACGGCTGAGTCCATACACACACACAGACTGCTGAACACCATACAGACTGCTGAATCAATACACACATACAGACGGCTGAGTCCATACACACATACAGACTGCTGAGTCCATACAC